TCTGCTGAAAAACTAACTCAATGTACATTCATTCGTGAGCACACCAACACACACACGCGCACTCTAATTCACAAACACATTAGCGTCCACAGACATCAACTCATCTAAAAGATGCTCACACATCAGCCCTAACACTCTCATACAACAACACACACACACACACATCGAAGCACACAGAAACTAAAATATCTATGTCAACACGTTACAGATTAACGTGTCTACATTACGACACCAAACTCTCTTAAACACACAAATCACCACACATGGGCTATTCAGTTGGAAGTCCTTGGTTTCGAGTCCTGACAGTTAGAAATTTTAGATATAATCTTCAGAGCTGGGTTGACTTCATTCGCTGTCTGGAGGAAATTTCTAGCCTAATGTTGATTGGAGGACCACGTTTAACTATCGATCAGAGCAGCCAGCCGTTAGAATTCTCCTCCAGGCAGCGTCTGATTTCTACCTAGCTATGTATCTAATGTGGAACATCCTTCCACCGTCTGGTCTCGAATCCTAGATCCTCGGGGGTTATAGCCACTGCAGGGACATCAATTCATGCGCTAAGCCACATAAGCCGGTCGTGGTTCACATTCATTGTATAGGTACTCCCGAATTTCTCCGCCTCCCTCTACCAACGCTACTCCCCGAGTTGTCCTCAACGGCTTATCGAAGGCTCCACGCTCCACGCCGCCGGAAAGAAACTTCGCATCGGGAGCCTTGTATTTTTCCGAAGTTTCCCGCACTAACAACCGTCGCAGGCCGCGAGGCAGCGCTGTCAGCGGGGATCGATCTGCATGAAAGCGGATATGGGGCGCCGCCGAGGCCGATTCTCGTGCGGCGAACGCCCAGCAATCACGCCAAGGCCCCCGGGAGACCCCCTGGGGAGAGCGCAGAGGGCCGAGCCGATTCGCAGAAAGCGCGTTTTTGCGACCGCCTCGATGCGCACCTCGCGACCTCCAACGGATGAGGGTCTGGATTACTTTTCGTCAAAAACAAGAAACCTGAATGTGACGTATGAGGGAGAGCTCAAGAGAAGTATACACTGTGTACGTTTTTTTCTGAGCTCCGGGTCGTCTTAGTTGGCTAAGGGCATCAATTGAAGGCACTGTTGTGACTTTGGAAGGAAGTCGGAAGGTTCGAGTCCTGACGGTGGCAGGATTTTCAAGCCTAGCTACGTAGCTAGATCGAATTCAGTCTCTGTATGGAGTAAAATTCTAGCAATAGGCTGCTCTGATCGGTAGTTTTCCGTGGTTTTTGCGATCAACACCAGGCGAATACCTAAAATTACCCTAACAAACGGGCCATGGACTGCGCGCGATCTTTCCTTCCTCTTCCCTACTCTAAGCTTACTCTTATTCAAACACTTATATGCACCTCATGCTTAGAGCGTGTCCCGGAGGGGGTGTTATGACTGGTTGAGATACCTGGTGGATATACCTGGTGGATATACCTGGGTGAGGAAAAATCCCTTAAACCGCAGGGGGGTTGGGGTCGGATTCACCATCCAGCGGGGGAAGATCACCGCCCCCCCAGCGATAGAAACATGCTCTACACTTACGGGGCTAATGACCTTAGCAGTTGACGCGCCCGGAAATGTTATTCAATCTATGAACCATGTATGGCAATATAATGATTATAATTGCACCCGTGCTGACTGTTCGGATGTTTTAAATTGTTCCTTTAAAGTAAAAATAGAATTATACTGAAAAACATCTTCGAACAGTCAGGCTCTGAACCTTCACTTATACATACAAAACTGGTTCTGTGCGTGGAAAACATGATATTGTTAAAAATGTAGGGTTTTCATTGCGACATACTCCCAGGATATTTACCAACAATATTACGAAGCGTTTAGTAACAAGAAGTATATCAAAGTATTGATTATTTCAAAACGAGAAGGATCCGTTGAGAATTTGATAAAATACCTACGTTTCAGGAGCATTGGAAGTAGTAGATAAACGTGTAAATTAGTAATGTTCTTTAATTCGTAACGCGTTCCATAGTACAAGAGCCTACACTAGGCCATGTTTTGAAGTAGCATTTCTACTTCAAGTTATGGATAGACTTTGGACACTTTTGGAAGTAATTATTTTCACGCAGTCGAAATGATTCTTCTGCGTTAGCATTGTTGTGTTGTATTTATTGATTTTTTATTTTGAACAGTATTTGATATTGAAAGTACACAACGTGAATGGTTTTGTTTGAATTGACTTCTGCGTTTTGGAATATTTAATTTTGAACGAACTGGTATTGCAAAATAAACTTTTATGGGTAATAATTTAATATGAGTAAATCTCCTAAATGTGAATTGTAAAAAGTATCTCCAACAGTTTTTCTGTTGATATTAAAACGTATACAAATATCAATTTATCAATAGCTCTCACGTACAAACATTGCATGTTTACATTAAAACAGGGAAGTATCGTTCTCTGAATGAACTGAATGTCAACAAATGCAGAATTAGCACATAATTAATGTGTTTTGATACATCATTCATAATTATATTAATTTTTAATTATTTTGTATTGCAACCAATAGTGTGAGGGCTGATGAATGAAACTTTAATGCTTCCCGTATATCTAATTAGAATTGTATTTTAAAATTTAGAATGTTGACAAAAATAAGAATAGTAAACAATGAATCATTCAGTCATTAATAAAGATGTAGCGAATCCATTATAGACCATTGAGACCTGAACTTGAGATTTTTCAAAATCTGTATTAAACGATTTCGAAGAGTTACCTCCAAGATATCTAAAAGAAGATTGTACACTGAAAGTATTACAGACAAATGCCAGTATGTAGTATCTCAATATTGGACAATCAACTTTGGAGTGAGCATCTTACGTTTGCATGTCACATTAAATTAATAAAATAAAAATAATGATAATAACTAATTGGATCCGTATAAACATTTTGCATTACGTAGGTCATTCATTTCTGAAATGTCCATTACATCTTATGGAAGGACCTACACTGCACCTGGGTAAACTCGTGAATAGTGTTTATTAACAAATAAAAATTAAGAAATATATCATCGAAATAAAAATGAAATAAAACATTATTTTAAAAATCAGAATTATTTCCGTGCAATGATATAGTGCAAAATATCAAGGAGTCAACTTACTTTGGCCTTCTTTCAAAATGTTTGCATGTTTTTAATCATCCATGCTACTGTGAGGGGAACACAAGTTTGGAGTCGTATGGTCCAAAAATGTAAAACACGCGCAATCTTTTATACTTCTTCCTGGTCCTAACCTCACCCCTTCCACATACACTTACACTAACATGCACTACACTGCCACACATGCCGGGTGGCTAGTCGATATTGTAGAAGTTGTCTCGGCTGGGGCGGGGCACCACTGGTGGAAAATACCTGGTTGGGGAAAACCCCGCTAGCCGACGGTAAGACCACCGCCACCACCTGAGGAGAAATCACTCACTAAACTTACGGGACTATTGACCGTAGCCGTTGACGCGCTCGGAACCTCTACGAATCAATCAATCGGGTTTCGAATTGATGTAATCTTATAAGTCGTCTGCCATCGTTCCTTGTTGTAATTTGAGAAGAATATGGGATGTTCCCAAGAATACTACGTCCTCGCGTTCTCAGTTTTTCGAATGACCTGCGAGCTTGGATTCATTATCGCATAAAGTTTGCAGAACGAATCCCACTGTTTCGCTAACTATGGGGTACGACCTGTGTTTTTCTGCCTACAGCCGACTGATCTCAATTTCCGAACTTTGTTACTAAAGACGATTCTGTTATTCATTGGCAACGGCGTCTCGTTGCCATGACACAGCAACATCTACAAATGGAAAAGATCGATTTATTATCCACACCCTCCTTAACAAAGCCTGGTTTATTTAATGTTATCGAACGATGAGAATGGGTTTGTTGGCCTTACAATATTGTATACAGTTTGTCAAAATTCGCAAATTTTCGTGAGTATTCGGATCACTTGCGGAATGTGTTTCGAACTTCGAGAGATTGCAAATCTGTGTGAGTGAATTCAGATAACATCGCCCATTTTCATGAACGTTGACTTGGCTAGAATTGGACAAGTTGAGACAATATGATCTATGTTTGTACTTGTTGTTGGTAAAAAAGCATTTATCATTGCAGGAATCTTTGAGAATTTTCTCCTTAAGTCCGGTCCTCAATGCCTGATCTTGAGTAGCTATTTACAACTTCCGATTCTGGTTTCATTCTTCCTCTGTTTTATACTCTGTTAGCTACGTAAATAATTATCTACGTTAACATAGTTTTGATTAATTAATATTAACATATTAGTATTAGTATAATATAGTATTAGTATCCGAATTAGTATTCAGTATTAGCTATTATAAGTATTAGTATTAGTATTAGTATTAGTAATTCAGTGGTTAGTATTGCTTAGTATTATTATATTTTAAACAACTCGCCAATTTAATGCGAATAATCTGTGCAAAAAATATTGCTGTTGATTGGAATTATTTAGAGATATGTTGCTGTGCAAAACCTAAAGGGTTTCAGGAATTGAACTTACCAAATATAAAGTTTTAAGAGTAATAAAGTGATAAATCTGTACTCAAACTACACGGGTATATACGAATTAATAAAAAAACAACGTTATTACTAAAACGACTTTTTAGATATAAGGAATTACGTTAGGGGCAAAGGACGCACGTTACGACGAATCTGAATCTATCTTTTAGTGCGTTGCTGTTGAATTTAATGTAACTCCGCCGCTAATTGAAAGAATTGAACTACAACAGAAATACATTTTTAAATAATCTGTTGGACAGTACGCATTACTGTTGGTTAAGGTTTGTTTTTAAAGAATTTAATGAATTAAAATTTGCGATGTTTTTCGTATCTAAAACCGCCCGTAACGGGTTGTACAACGCAATATTGATGGTAAGTTATAATAATTTTATATACGTCAATCAAATTTGGATCGTGACATGTACTAACTTTTGAAATGATTTATAGGGACTGTTTACTTAATTTTATTTAATTTTTTATTGAAACACTGGAACTGGCCCTACATGCATATACGCGTTCAATCCATTAGTAACAGACGAACCTTTTCGATATTAACAAGAGGAAAACTGGATGAAAACTAAAATATCTTCAAAATGGAACGAGAAAAAATATAATAGTAATTTCTTCAACATATAGAAATAATGAAACATAACGAAAAAATATGTGCAATGGCAAATATTAAGTATTATTTAATATCACTTGCAATTTTAATTTTATTATAGCATTACATGCTTATATACGCCGTTTCCATCGCAACATTTACTTCTAACGTTGTTATAATTTTTAGATAAAAACTCTGTGAATTTTATTTTCGTGTCGATCTCAACCTTTATTTCCTCGTATTCGGGTACGTAAATGGACACATTACACCTGTCAGAGAACAATCATGCAGACCGTGAAGGTTTTTGTGCGAGCTAGAGGCAACCTCAAAATACGAAGGTAATCAGGGAGTGGTCATATCAAAGCAACACGCAGATTTCGCATCAGTTTCATGCTTTCCGCCCTCCACACATAGCCCTATGGTTACTTTCCCACTTCGCTTAAGATGCCTTTGGTGATATCACTGATATCGGCAAAACCATCTCAGAAAAACTTTCTAAGTGTTTATCTCCTCACATTACCGTTATGGTTGCATTTCACAATGCTTTTGATGTATAATACGACAACGTGCAAACAACTTAAGCAGGAAATAAGGTAAAATGTGTAATTAGTTATGCCGCATTTGTATTTCAATGAGTGCTTTTCAGATACTGTGACATGTTTTTCATATTCTACATGTTCATATTTGCAATATAAGCACATTACACACAGAGTTTAACTTTTGTAACTTTAAATAAAAAAATTAAGAATTATATTTTAAAAAATTTATATTTTTATAATAAACGTAAATACAGCTTCTTTTAAAGCTATTATAATTTGTCGAACACAAGGAATCTTTTATCACACGATCAATACAAACATTTAAATTAAAATTCACAGGGAAAATGTCAGCACAAAAATGTGAAATGCACTAATGGAAAGAGAGCACCAACTACCGACTCGAACAGACTTTTCAGACGCTTCTCCGAACTCACAAACAAATTTCACAGGCATTGCATGCACGAAACCCGCCGCGCAAAAAATACTTCTGCACGGCCCAATACATTGATACGACGCACAAAACAATCTTAAATAAGATCCTATGTCTACAAATATCACCTCCGTTCAGTTTTCGTTCACATATGACGTTAATCGTGAAGACATACTATGAACGTAAGAAAACAATAGACATTATAATAAAGTTAGTTGCAGCGGATTTGTGTAATATATTATGTACCATTTTCAATACTTATTATTAAAATTAAGAGCTTGATAAATACATGCATCGATAAATGCATTTTAATGTCTCTTTCTAAGAAATCGTACTGAAATTTGTTGAAAAATTAAAAAGAGGTGTAACAGTTGATTATTAACCACACTACAGAATCTTTCTCTAAGAATAATTGATGTACAATATTTAGAAATAATATTCATGACAAAATGTGAAATGTATTGTCTAGGCATTTGTTCACATTTTTCAACCTGCGTCACACTAAGTATGTCACTTGAAATCCCGTGATTCAGTTGAAATCTTAAAATGAATTGTTAAATACTAGTACTATAATAAAATTGAAATGTGTCATAGATGCAATTTAAGATGAAGAAAATAATACAACTTAAGAGCAGTGCAATTACTATTTTGTAACTTTTTAATGTGTGGGTAAAAATCGCAATAATGTTTAACGTTTAATAATAGAAATCTGTATTTTAGCGTTGTTATCATATTCTTGTTCTACAATGGGTAAGAAATCGCTTCGATATAGAATGGAAAGAAAGAATTTGTTTTTAAGTACAAACATTTTTTTGCCTCGTCCTGAACAAAACTCACATACATATACATACAATAAACTAGCAAAGAAAATATTTAATTGTTAAGCTGTTAAAGAAAGTACACATGATTCTTTATCCATGGACTGTTGGATTTCATAACATATTCGACATGTCATAACAAAAATCAAATATTGCTATTAGTCGTGGCGCACATGCGGCCCACATAACGTAATATTCCTCGTAAGAGCATTTAGATATATACCATATATTGCATTTTAAAGCAATTCTCCGAATCCATTAATTGCAACTTCTCAAATGGTACAAACAAAAATTAATACAAAATCACAGTGAATAATTTATTACATTTCACAACGAACATCCAAACACATTTAAATTGAAATATTTCGAGATAATCCCACCTGAAAACAACTAGAAAATGCACAAAGCGATAAAATAAAATCACAATATTCCAAAACATCACAAATGTTAATGTGAAATCGCAAATGCATTGCACTATAGACACATCAACACACACACGAACCACTAAAGGAGACTCACCGCGAGAGAAATGCTTGTGTTCGGCGATAACCCTCTCGGCGTTCTTCCTGGCGATGAAGAACCACTCGGAGGTGTTGCTCAAGTACTTGTACTCCACCGCCAGGTCCTTCACGAGAATGGGCCCTTCGGGCAGCCGGTACGCGTAGGGGCAGAACAGCCAGTAGTCCTTGTACTGGTACTTATCGTAACAGTTGCCCGCCGCGAAGATGTCGTCGTCAAACTCCACCATGGAGAACACGGACGCGTGCAAGAGATACTCGGACTGCAGGACGTTGGCGTCGGCGTACTTCCACAGCCGGGTGAGCATGTTGGCGCGGTTCACGGCCACTTCCGCCTCCACCCGGAAGCGCTCCTGGGCGTACCGGTCCACCACCCCCTCCCCCAGGTTGAGGTCGGTCCCGGCGGTGCAGTTGTCTCCGAGCAAGGTGCTGCGTCTCCACGTCCGGAGGAAACCTTGGTGAAGCATGTCTCCTCCTCGTCGGCCCGTGCGGGGGCGGGCGGCGGAGGGGGCGGGACGTGGCGGGCGGCCTGGGCAGGCGCTTCCAGCAGGCCGTGCGCGGGCTCATGGTCGGGGGGCGTGGCGCGGGAGAACGTGGACGGGACGCGAAGGGCGGCGGGGGGCGGCAAGGAGGCCCCGACGGTCGGTGCGCGCGCCCGCGCGCGAGAACTTCGTCCGCGAGCGGCGGTGGCGCACGACGACGCGCGGTCTCCCCGGCGGCGGCCAGCGCCAGCCGCCAGCAACGCAGCAGCAGCAGCAGCGCGGCGCGCGCCGCATCGCGAGGGCCCGAGAGGAGGGACGGGGGCGAGGGCGAGGACGCGCTCGGGCATGCTGCACCCCGCGCAGCGACGCCCCGCGCGCACTGAACCTCTGTCGACGCCGACGCCGAGGAGGAGCGCTGGCGCTGGCGCTGGCGCATGCGCCCCACGCATCGATCTCAGACGGGGAGGGAGGACGGAGGACGGGTCGCGGAATCGAGTAAATAGCGCCGGGCTCTATCCTCCCGGACCTCCACGACGGTTTGTCAACTAGCGGCTGACACACATCATGCCTCGTGGTAACATCTCGGATTTCCCAACACCTTAATTATCATATCGATATCATTTTTATCCTCAGGCCACACGTTAATTGTGTTTGTATTTGAAACTTGTGGACTGAAGATTGTGGATGGCCATCTATTTCCGGAGGTGGCAAGGAGATGCGTGAAAGCTTGCAATTGAGTGAATATCTTTGAGCTGAGTGTGTTCCCAAACTTAGTTAAAGCCTTATTTCATGTGGCAAGACTCGACACGGCCATCAGGCCCGCTCATTCGTCTGACTATGCTTTCGTTACACTTTTTTCACCATCCAACGGAGAAAAGAGGTATCATCTCGGGTGACGATACAGGCTAGTTGAATTCATCTCAGATTTACATGCGATAAATCTTCTACATGAGACAACCGCATTTACTGACCTACCAAAAGAAAACCAGTATCGTATGAAGGCTGTTTTCTCCCTTAAAAATTCATTTTGCATCGGGTTGGAACCCGCAAAATTTGGTACTACAGCCCAATACGTCACCGTTGTTTTAGACAAATCACAAACTTCTTTTCTTGCACCTGTTTTTTGCTCATGGTACTGTTTTTCTTGACCCCTTTTCAGGGGTCAATTTTCAAAATGACCCCACCATTTCATAAAAGACTACTTGGAATATTATCAATATATATATAAGCTATACTATATAATATATAGTATACTATATAATATATATATCCACCAGTGGGTGAAACGTAATATCTGTTTAGTTGAGTTCAGTCCTCCTGATCTTTCGTGACTCGTATGATTGGTCAACCAAAGACTGATATACATTGTGGAGGCACGACCCACTCTCAGGACTTTCGAAAGCTATTGTGACAACCATCGTCTAGTTAAGGAAACTATATTATCCACTTTGATTTTTTGAAGTCAAAGTTGAAGAAATTCATAGCAGTATCGTAATATTAGTTATTATAACACAAGTGTTGTAGAGCAAGTCTATTAGCCATAACAACATCAGTCTGTCACCATTGGCAGAATCAAAACTCACATCAATGTCATCATCATCATCATCATGAGTTGAGCCTATTGACCCGTTCCGTCTTCGAGGGTATTCATCCATCATTATTGGCCTGCCCCTGCTCCTCCTCCCATTCGGGTTGTAGTTGTGGAAGATTTTTGGTATTCTATCTTCCGGCATTCTCATTAAATAACCATGCCAATTCTTTCTTAGTATGACTATTTTATCTGTTGAACGTAAAATGCAAATAGTCACATTTAAACAAAAATGATAGTGCATGTTAAGGTATCAAAGTACGCAGTGTTGCATTGGCTGGCTGCTTTCCCGCGGAATCGCGCACTCACCGAGTAAAATATCTTCGTCGCCGCGAAGGAATTTAGATAAAGCACCGAGCGTCAATAACCCCCCCCCCCCGGCGTCGAGATACGCGAGAATGTCCTCTGCTCAGGGCTGCCACGTGTGTTGCGCGCTCTTGCCTCACCACTTCTACAGAATTTCCCCGTATAACCTCTCCAGTAAAACAAAATTCCCAACATTGAAACGAAAAAATCTACAAATAATGGTCCAACGTCATTAGCTGTCCATGAAGATTTTATTGACTCTCCTCTTAAAGTCAAATAATTCAAATCAACCAACCATCGTCCCTTGAGCAGCTCGGAGCCCAATTCTGTCATCGTTTTTCTCATGTTATTCATTCTCGTTGCCTGCCGCTTATTTTACGCTTTTTGATACATAGAAATGAAAGAGATTGTTTATTGATACTTTATTATTTATAACTAGTGGACCCGGCAATGCTTCGCTATTGCAAAGTATTACACATTGCATGCTACTGCTCTCGTGATTTTAAATCATGTTTTACGGTACGCTCTGCAAAGTGTTCAATGGACGAAAGACTTTCTTGCGAGTGTGGTTCCGTCTCTCTCTCTCTCTCACACACACACACACACACTCACTCTCTCTCTGTGACTTTCCATCTCTCTCCCCGTCGCTATCTGTGTCTTTCTGTTTCTCTCTCTCTCTCTCTCTCTCTCTCTCTCTCTCTCTCTCTCTCTCTCTCTGTCTCTGTATTCCTGTCTCTCCCTTTATCTGTCTCACGCGGGCGAAATTTCACACTCGCAAGGGCAGAATACGTAATGAAGACTCTTATTAATCGTACTTCAGCGTACATGGGGTTGCGTCAAGCGCCATTTTGTAGAGCGCCCTATTGAGGGCTCTTGAGTCAGCATAAAATCATCATCTACGCACGTCTATATGCGCAGGAATCCCAATCGTACTAGGTCTATGTTCTTCGTGAAAGTTCAACCAGTAAGTTGACAAAGTTTTATCGCAATCGGATGAACTGTACGGCAACGCATTAAGCATGAACCAACGAACATTGTTGTATAAGATAATCAAAGCAATAATATTTTTATCTTGTCTCCGGATGAAAATAATTTCCCAAAATAAATCTCCAAACATTTTGCGTCCATTTATGTTTCTCATTTTTGCCCTTCAACGAAAAATCCTCCTTTGGGAGCTGTATTCTTCAATATGGCAATCCTGCCTCCGTATCGTGCACGACACGATCCGCCTCAGTTGTCCCAGCTGCTGAATCCAACAGTGCGAACTGACGGAGCCTGAAATGGAAATTAGATACCGATCCGCGATTTGTTAACCATGTCGGTGCTGTTGTGCCGGTTAGCACGCTGCGAAATAGTTTGAAAATATTGTTTTCATAAATGATTTTTCCTCTTTTGAATAAGTTCCGGCATTTCGGCAAACTATCTTAGCTGCTAATTTATGTCAATAAGAGTTTATAACTGTTTTATTGGAGGGTGGGGAGCTAAATTTGAATAAATTTTGTCGCATATATGTTACTTAACAGTGCACTTAATTGTTTTTCAAAGCAGATGAAACGTTGAGACAAAATCGTATAGTAATATTTTTTACAATCCTCGATTTCTTATGAAAATCTTCGTAAAGGTCTCGGTGAATAATCTCCAATATTGTACTGTAATACAGTGTTATATAACACTTATGTCGTAAATAAGTATTGGCTCAATTCTCTTGGAACTTCGTCGGGTCGGCTTGTCCAACAAGGAGTGACATCTAATACTTCTGGTGTTAAGACCATATTTTTCGTTTTTAATACCCAATTAATCTTTACCGAAGATGCTTCGTTGGAAATATGATTTACTATAAATGAAATTTAATATCAAATGGCAAACTAAGAACATGCACCCATTATTTCGCTTATAAAAGTCGCTTTCTCGTCTTTAACGTCCTAGCAATTGTTGCAAAAGACGCTGTTAGAAATATATTACGTCAGTAAAATTTGATGTCATACTGTTTGTCAACCAAGGAAATCAAGGATTAACATCCATCATTTCGTTTGTAAATATGCGTTCATCTTCAATTCCCAACGAATCTTTACAAAAGTGAAACCAATATAAATATGATTTGTCATATTTTTGACAAATCTATGAAAATATGGGATGTAATGAATGGTTTGTGACATTATATGTATGACATTTTCACAATTCGTTGGAAAATGCTACGTTTCCACAAAACGATATTTCATGACAATATTATGAGATAATATTATTGCCATTATTTTCCTATAATTTTAAATCCATCAACAAAAATAATTTATTATTTATACTTCTAGAATTGTTACAATCTCAATTTTGTCGAAGATATAATTTACCCGGAAAACTTCAAGTGTTTTTATACAGCAAACAATTTCCTTCATAAAGAATGATTTTTAGAAACTTTTCTTACGCGTTTGATGTCACGTAACTTGCAATTAATACTTTCTAGAACTTTAAAAGCTCATTTTCGAAGAACGTAAGTCTTATGAGATACATTATTTTCTCACAATCTAGAAAATGTGACCGTTTTGAACCTTCTATCACTTCTTCATTTTTAGTAAATTGTACGTGAAAAACTTATTTAAAATAAATTGGATCGTAAATTCATTTCGATTCTATTTTACTAGCGCAGTTAACCAAAGCCACCTGCGGCAGGGTAGGGTAGGGAGCTATCCGCTAAGTGACCATGACTGAATCCTGCATGTTGACTGACATGAAACGATTCAATGCAAAAGTTAAACTTATAAAAGTGACCACAAGGCGTAGAAAAATTACCGTATGAACTCAATGTAAAGTGTGTTAATACACTTGTGTGACGTTTATGATACTCGCTTGTATTATAATATTTCACTCATGTATTAATACCATCATTACATCATCGTTTCATAATGTTACGTTTTAGCCTCGATGTAGTCTTCCATTAAAAGAATGATTTCGGGAGGTTTAGCAACCGTGTGCATGAGTTGCACGGTTCTACCGATCCAAAAGCCTCTTTGCGCATGCGCACGTTTGAAACTTGTAAAACTCCGAAATCGTATCAAAAGTGTCAAAAGGAAGAGTATAAATCGAGTCTTATCGCTTTTTTTAAGTACCCCAACGTTTTTTCATGGAAAGGTAAACTAATTTCGAATTATATTATTCTTTTTTTATTTTGATTAGGCTCAACTGCTGAAGTAATTTAGGTCCGTTGCAAATCATTTAATCAGAAAATTGAAGTTATAGTGATGATTAGGATCAAGTAGGAATAGGAATAGTGAATTGAGAAGCAAGGGAAACAATAAAACCCCGCGTGAACATACTCTTTGTCCGCCATAAATTCTGCATGAATTGGCTGGGGATCAAATTCGCATTCCAATGCTGGGTTGCAATTCACTTACCATTACAGCACAAGCCCTCTTCACGAATTCTATTTAGAATGAAATTGGCTATTTGATATTCTGTGTGATTTAATCGCTCGTACATAAGCATTTCTGTATATTAATAAACGATTAGCAATATTAACCGTTAAGTACTCTGGTGAAATTTACTTACGAGTAAGCTCTGGAGTGATCCTCAGGTGCCCAAAAATGTAATTTGCTATTTGTAGCAATGAAAAAAAAACGACTTCAAATTGTGTTCTTTCAAACAGTTTACAGTTTTTATAACAATAAGAAACTAGTGGTGCCACAGAATGGCACAGACATTTCGGTATTGGTTTTCTATTTCCTTTATCTTTGCTAGCTATTCGGAATTGCCACATACTCTTACTAATTGTCTTATATCGCCTCCCAAGTACATTCTTTCAAAACTTCCTTCATTGTTGATAGATCCAGTGAATGAAGTGTGATGAATATCAAGAAAGATAACGAATGGACATTCGTATCTAGTTAATTTGTTTGCGAATGATTCTTATTTGCTTGTACATAATTTGGATTACATCCATTAGGTACTTCGCTCACCAGATGCAGGGACTGCGTTTCTATTTGCAACACTTTGAACCCAATTAAAACTTTTATGCGTACTGGTATGCCATGAAAGGGTTCTATTTTAATATGTAAATTACTTTTTGCGAGTGTTCATTTAATGCAATATGTATGTTCTTACCATTTAATAAATGATACGTCATTCTATACTTTCAATCAAATTTAAAAAAGGAAAAATAAAAGTACATGACTAATAATAAATAATTTTTAAATTTTTTAACGTGATACACAAATTGTTTTGTTTTTAGTTTTCGCCTCCCTCTCCGCTCCTCCTTCTCGCTCGCTCCTCTCCGCTCGCTCCCTCTCGCTCGCTCCTCATCACTCGCTCGGCTCGTCCCCTCTCGCTGCTCCCTCCCTCTTCTGCCTCCCTCTCGCTCGCCCCTCCTCTCGCTCGCTCATCTCGGTGCTCCCTCTCGCTCGCCTCCTCCCTCTCGCACGCTCCCTTCTCGCTCCGTCCCTCCCCTCTCGCGCTCCTCTCGCTCGCTCCGCCTCCGCTCTCGCACGCTCCTTCTGCGCTCGCTCCCTACCTCTCGCTCTTCGATCTCGGTCCGCTCTCCTCCAAATTAATAATTTTAAGAAGTAAATACTCGTATTTATTACTGTACATATTTTGTATTAAAAATAACAATTTATTAAACTAATGGTTCGTAAATGAAAAGAAACAAAGAATCGAAATCTAGTAAGTCAAATGACCCCATTATCAATCATTTTCCCCGAGACTTAGTCTATCTCTTTCATTTAATCTGCCACTCTCGTTATCTTTTAGTTTCACAATCACTCATTCACTATATTC